TTTATCATTATCGTTATTTTAGTTATTATTATTATTATTGTTATTATTATTATTATTATTATTATTATTATTATTATTATTTCCTTTACTATTTCAACACCTGTTGTGGTTGAGCGTAAAAAATTATACGTTATATAATACACAGCTCATTGACCCTCAGTTAGTTATGCTGGTAGCCTGCTGAACTACTGAGTTGATGACCCCGGTTTTAATCCCAAACCTGGTGTTCTTGACCTCGAGTCGTTTTGTGGAGTTTTCAAGTCTCTCAGTACATACTGGTTATATACTTATCGGAGACGGACCCCTCTTAAAATAACCCCTGAGGTTAATAAGGGCGTTAAACCTATTATTATTATTATTATTATTATTATTATTATTATTATTATTATTATTATTATTATTATTATTACATGTATTATTATTATTATTGTCATTTTTATTATTATTATTATTATTATTATTATTAATATTATTATTATTAATATTATTACTATTACTAGTCGTATTATTTATCACTATTACTATTACTAATTATTATTATTATCATTGTTAATATTTTATTATTATTATTAATATTATAATTATTTATTATTATTACTCTTACCACTATAATTTATATTATTATTATTATTATCATTATTTTTTTAATTATTACTATTATCATTATTATTATTATTATTATTATTATTATTATTATTATTATTATTATTATTATTATTATTGTTTATTATTTTTATTGTTATTATTATTATTATCATTTAAAATTATTATTATTACTATTATTGTAATCATCATTGTTATTTTAATTATATATATGTTTTATCATATATATATTATTATTATTATTATTACCATTATCATCATCATCATCAACATTATTTTTTCCCGTTTCCTGCCCAGGTGATGTCTCGTGACGCCAAGCTGATGCGTCAGGACGGACCCACGTTGTTCACTCAGGCCAAACACGGGGTGGGCGTTGCGGAAGTGGCGGATCACATCATGGCTGCCTGCAGACGACAGAGTGGGCAAAGTAGGGCTTCACCATAATCTCTCGAGGATAGACGCTTTCATTTTCATCTCTTCAGTCGTTTTGAGTTTGTTTGGGATTTTTTTTTTCAAATTTTTGTTGTATCTTTGTTTTTCTTACGCCTGCAGTCTATTTTCATCTCTTCAGTTGTTGTTTGATTGTTGTTGTTGTTTTTCCAAAATGTGTTTGTATCTGTGATTTTCTTACGTCTTCAGTCTAACATGCACACAGCAAGATCTGTTGAACGTGGAAGTCTTGTTTTTTGCGTACGAATTTCGCTATATACGTATTTTGAATACAAAGAATATCTACATGTAAGAACAGACAGGGGAATCAAGAAGGTTTTATTTGTCCTCAGTTTGCGGAGTTGATGCTGCCTGAAGTTAGAGAATGCCATTAGTAGGCGCTACTTGTTTTTTCTTTCCTTCCTTTTTTGTTTGCTAATGTTATTTTTCTGTTGCTGTTTTTTGTTTCGTTTTGTTGTTTTTTATCTGTTTGTTTGTTTGTTTGTTCGTTTGTTTGTTTGTTTTTTTTGGCTTTTGTTTTTGTTTTGTTGTTTTTCTTTTCTTCAGTTCCATATTTCCGTTATCGTATCCATGGTTTTATCATTACACAATACTGTATTCCAAGGATAAGTTGTGACTCAAACCATGCATACATGCATGTACATGTATACGTGTATACATAAGGAAAAACAACTACAGTGAAGTCCGCTTTTTTTTTCAAAATAATTTTTTTTCTTTTAAGAAAATAATAATGAAACAAAATAGAATTAAATAAATAAATAAATAAATAAATAAATAAATAAATAAATAAATAAATAAATAAATAAATAAATAAATAAATAAATAATGTACAATCCAGGATAGATTTTGAAACACTTACTTATTAATTTTATTTTAATTAATTATTTTTTAAAGCTTTTTTGCCGTCTATTTCAGCCATCTTCCAAATAAATAAATAAATAAATAATGTACAATCCAGGATAGATTTTGAAACACTTACTTATTAATTTTATTTTAATTAATTATTTTTTAAAGCTTTTTGCCGTCTATTTCAGCCATCTTCCAAAACCAAAAACGTAGCTAAACCGATGAAAAACAGGGGGCCCTGCAGATCTCGGTTTTAGCGGGCTTCAGTGTAAATGTACTTGTAGTAATTACTGCCTTCTGTTACGCATTCAATTTATTGATTTATCACATACGCCCACATTTGGTCGCTTTTAAAGACTAGCGGGCTAACCGAGATTTCAGGGGTTTCCAGAAATCTTGACCTACAACAAAAGTGGGCATTGCCCTACCTATAGGAGAAGTTTGGTTTCAATAGTGTGTATATTTGTTTGATTTCAGAGAAAACTCTCTTTGTTGTTGTTTTTTAAAAAGAAACTGAACTAGGGGCAAAAACTTTACCTTCAATTTTCTCAAAACAGTATTTTTCGGGATAGCCCCCTTGAGCTTAAAAGCGACCATTTGTTTCCTAAAGACACTAGGTGAAGTATATGTCGGAAACTTTGTAATCCCAGTGAAGAAATGAGGAAGTGGTTGCATGGGATATGATATCTCCAGAGAACAAAGACACGCAACAACAACAACAACTAAAAACCCAGACCCAATACAAAACAATACAAAACAATACAAAACAATACGAACGCAGCACAGACGAAAACAAGTTAATTAATGTTCATGATCAGATATCTTGTATGTTTTTTTGTATGTTGAATTTTTATTGTTTATTTTTTGGGGGGATAAAAATAATCTAAATGAGCCTAAAAAAATTAAATAACTCAAAAGAAAAATGTAGGTTACGTACTTTGCCTTATTAATATTTGTTTTTTGTAGTAAATTTTGTTACCCTTTGCGATTTGAAATAAAGAAACGTTATTATTCATAAAATTTGTTATGCTGGTGGGTCTTTGTAGAGGTGGCTGTTGTTGTTGTTTTTTGTG